AATTATTGTTAGCACAACACAGACAGAGATCATTCTAGCTACTAATCTAGGTGACATAAGACGGTCTTCATGGCTCAAGACAGCACTGTACATCCTGGATATTATTAAGACTGTTTCTGCATAGAAAAAAGCTGCCACGTCTTGGTCAGACATAATAAACGCGCACTTTAGAGGTGCTGACCAGGAGGTCACCATCAAAGAACTTTGTTTCAATAACCACGTTGCCACTGAAAGAGAAAAAAATACTTCTCATTACCATCTCTGTATTCAGTGGAAATGAATATTATTATACAGTTTAAAAGAAAAGAAAGAAAAGGAAATCAATTTTTGAGCATGCCCTTTGAGCAAGCTGTAACTATGATGTACTGAGTACCAGCCCAAAAGTCATTCTCATTAGCTCCTCAAAATTTCACCTCTTAAAGTTGATCTGCAATTTGGAGATTCATTCACTCACTGAATGAAGGACAGAGTCTACAAACCCGACTGCAAATTCCACCAACCTCTGACCATCAAACACAACTTTCTTTCCACACTGACATGTTATGGACTTTTTTGGCAGGAAAAAATCTCCACTTTTTAAGAAATACATTTTTTGGCTTTGAGCTGTATTGGTAAACACCAATCCGCCATAGAAAAAATTGGTACATTTACCCATAACTCTTAGCGCACAGAAACTTAAACAACGCTCATAAAAACGTACAGGAACGTTGTGAAACCTTCAAACCCAGCGTACACAATGTCGATAGCACATGGACAAATACTGCAAAATCATGGCTATCCTTGTACTTTACTGGCTGTATTAGGCTCACATGGTATTGTGGTAAAATGTACAGCCGCCATCTTTTTTCCTACGGAGGATTAAGCTTACTAGATTAGTTGGAGTTTACGTTTGTGCCTTACCTGGCTTGTCAGGCAGGCAAGTATTTCTGGTTTCCATGGCAGGAAGTGATCAATAAGATTTCTACTGCCCAACCCTCTGCCCCCCCTTGATGGTGAAATCTACTAGTAACCATTAATACAACTGAATGGAGTGAGGTAAAGTGACAGCAAAGTGTCCCTCCCACCATCACAACACAATAATTTCAGCCAAAGGACTGATGCCAAAGAATTATAGACCACACTTACTTTAGAACATTTGCAGGCATCATCTGTGATTCAGGAGCAGCCTCTATGAGTGATTGCCATGTGTTTGTTGATGAAGGGATAACAAATCCAAAATCAAAATACCATTCTACAAACACAAGATAAAATACTAACAGTGAAATTACATCCTTAAAATACACTGACATCACAGCAAGGTGTTTCTCAAAGGATATCGTTAATACCATGGGTGACAAATTACTCCTTAATAAATTCTGGTGCAAAATTCCAGCATTAATTTATAATTTCACATGTGAAATTACAAAATTGCCATGGGGAAATTTCGCGAGAAATTTCCAGATGCAATAAACAAGTCAAAAACCTACCACTGTAAGCGTAATTTGTCACCTATATGATATTAAAAGGTAATCAAATGGTATACTTGTGAAATTGAGAAATAATTTCACTTGCTCTTTTTCAAAATTCTAATACACACTTATTAGTTGAATTACTAGCTGAATTATTTCCTAATTTCACTTGTCACCGTTTATCGGTTAACATGAATGTATTTAAGCAATTTTTCGACAATACAGGTAGATCAAAATTATAACTTACCAATAAAGAATTTCCAGGTTAATAACAAAGTTATTGCCCAAGTAACAAACACTACCAGATGAATATTGTTAATAAAATAAGCAAATTTTACTTTCTTACCTTCTAAGCACTTCCCTTTGAACAGAACTTTTTGTTCAAGTCTGAATTTTGTCATTTCTTGTTCAGAAGAAAAGTTAAGTTCCCTAGATACAGCCTTGCATTTTAAGATCTTTTTTGGTACTCTTGCTGCAAACAAAACCAAAACACTAATTCCTTAATTTGAAAATCCCAAAATAGACAGCAACACATGTCACAAGTACATTCCAATTATTGGCACATCTCTTCTAATAGGATAAGAATTTCCATCATTTGAAGCAGACTCTCATGATTACATACAGCCCTGTACAGTGGAATGCAAGCCTTGATGTTCAATAATGAGACTCTATCGGTTTTGCAAAACAATGTTACAAAATTGGCTTAAAAAACACTTGCGTCACTTTTTCATCCTAGCAGAAGTTAAACCAAAACCATGAATCACTCGTATATGTTTTCCTGCACTTATAGAGTGGTTTTCAATTGAGTGTCGTAAAACCAAAACCAAACCAATTACTTAAAAACTACCTCTACTACTTAGTCAAACTCAAACCATAGTAAAACCAAAGCCAAAACCAAAGTAATTGCCTGAAATTACTCTTGATACTCAATTGAAAATCACTCTACCAGGTGTACATGAATTACTCTAAGTTTTGATTGGTTTGCTATATTGCCTGTGTCCCTTGTGATTAGCTAGAGTGATTACTTTAGTTCTCGCTTTACAACAATCAATTGAAAACTGTTCTTCAACATGACTTATAAATATCAAAAAACCTATCACCAAGCTAAAGACAGCCTAACACATTCAGAAGTAGGTTATGACATGCAAGAAGTAGATTCTATTTGCATCAAAATAGTGCTTAGCATTTGGTAAGATATTAGAAATAAAATAAAATGCCAAAAGAAGTTACGATGCTCATACCTTCATGTTCTTGGTCAGGAACCGACCTGGAAAAGAAATATCAAACATATATTAATCAATAACTGTTAGGAATCTAAATGAATTTAGGAACAAGTTTTTGCCAGTCACAACAGGGATAACAAGGCCTTGGTCTAAAAATATTTACAAGGAACCCAAAGGTTCCAAACTGTCATTGTGCTGGTTGCCCAGCATTTAAGCTTATACATGAGAAAAGTAAGTTTTTTCAGTTGCCCAAAGGCAAAAGCTAGTTACCTGTGGCACCCAGGCACAAAAAATTGAAGTTACTCAAAAGAATGAGGAAGTAGAAATGTTTGATCAGATTTCACTTACAAGTCATCACTGCCTTGCCACAACACCTTCCCAGAGTCAGCATCTCGCAGATTCATCCAATTTCTACATCATTATTAAGGAATATAAAATCAAATAGACGCAACTCCTTTGCAGCAAAAAACTGAATGACTTGTGAAAATTTTACAAATATATACTTGTAATCTGACAATTTATTTTGTGTTAAACCTTGAAGTGCATCTTACATTAAACTTATTTACACGGAATCAAACTGTCTGATTTGACAAATATTTATTCTTAGGTAAAAACAGCAATGTTATACATTTTTGGTCTCTTTCTTCAATCTAGATCTATCTTTGCTTTGACTTGAGAATATATCAGAGTGATCACAAGATCATAACTCAAAGTTAAGGAAGTATCAAATTAAGGAAGTAGTCACAAATCAGTCATGGTTAAATGGTTGCTTAACAGTTTTACCATGCAAACATATCACATAGCCTTCTTGTTACGATGATCTTACTTCCGTGAATACATTACTAGAGGTACATTATTGAAATCTGACTCTGCCATGTCAACCATGACAGGGACGTCTGGCTTGATAAACACTTTGCAAGTTGATCATTCACTAAGTACCAGAGGTTTTCCTGGCAAATTTGTTTCTTTCAATGGTTACTTGCATGGTTTCCAACAATACAAGAATACCAACTGACAATTTTTTTTCCACTTTCTAAAAGAAAGCCTCACAACTCTATGTTTTTTTCATACATTCAATTGAAACATGCTAAATTACAAAGAACAACAATTCATGCTGTCAGGTAATGATATAATGCCTTCACAGTAACCAATCAGAGCTTGACATTTTCATGAACTGCCTTTATTAAAAATTTATTAAAAGGTTAACACCTCCCACTGGACAATGGTAAAAAAATAACTTCTATTGATCACTTGGAATAACAATGCTACTTCGCATAAATGTTCAATATTCCCAAATGGAAAAGATCTTTATCGATTTCTTTTTAACACTCAATCAAATGTTTAGTCTCTCTGTTAGAGGTTGATCATTTTAGAAAAAAAATTTAAATCAGAAATGTTATCAGTTGTAAAGTTAGACACAACAGTAGCACTTGGCCAAGGCAGTTGGCAAATGTCAAGAACGTTCCGAGTCACTTTAGGTTAAGATTTCACAGAGCACGAGTCAGATAAAACCATATACTGCAAATAAACAGACACAGACATGATTAAATTTACCTGAAACGCTATGTCGAAAATACATCACGACCAATTACTTATTCGCTTCACAATATAAATGATTAGAAAAATCACTTTGTGACACACGATCACAATTGTACAGCATCTACGCATCCGCTTTAATAGATATAAATCTTTAAAATCTAATCTTTGTCTATCTTTTACGCTACTGCAATAAACTACAATGAAGCGATGTTTGGAAGTCGTAAATTCGTGCTAGCTGGCATAACCAAAATCCGTTGACGTTTGATAAAGTGTTACATATCCCACCAAAAAACGGATCGAAGTACAAAACCAGAACGGTTTAAAAGTATCACTTTTCGAATACTGTATAACAGGAACAAAACAGTGTTTTAATATCAACAGATAAACAGCAAATCTGTTCAGTTCTAATTCAAGCTTACAGAAGATTCTGACTTCGGCCCACCCGCCAAAGAACTAAACGACCGATAGCCACGATTCGCTAATCCAAAAAGTTCTAGACTTTAAAATAAGTAAGCTAAATTAGTGATTCGTGTAGGTTACTAACTACTAAGTGAAGACAAGTTAAAATAGTCTGCAAAAGTAGCGTAAAATTCGAGGAAACTTGCAAACGAAGGATACAGTTTGAATCCCTTCAGGATTTCATCTTTCCTCGCGCCTTTCACGCTCATGCTGGGAAAATTCGCTATCCACCACCAAAGAATGGTCCAGTGAAGAGTTCTGCACAGAATCAAGAGCCAAATGCCACGTTAAAAGAAGAAAATCGCTAAGAACCTCTAGTAGAGGGAGAAACGGATGCAGCAAATAATCCCTGCACCAAGGAGCTCGGCTTGTAACGTTTCCATGAGAACTCTGGGTAATTCACGTCAAATGGGGAGTGACAAAACGGCCGGGAGGCCTGGAAACTGGGACATGTAGCAGCCGACGAACCAGAAGCGCGAGGGAGCCCGGATAGCTCCGCTCTCCCAATCCTTTTAGTTTCGCGCTCGTCCGCTCGCTTTGCTCGCCGAATATTTTCCCGTCCTCGCCGGCAGCCCGTTCGCAGGCTACGATTGAATTAATTGATCGAGAGGGAAGTGACCACGTTAAGTGTACGGTGTTGTGTTACACTTTGGGCCGTCGAGAATTTGAGCGCTCTAAAAGGCATTGTATGGGGAGCTTAAGTTACTTTTTCTGAATATACTCACCTTGCCTGACGATGAAATAGGCCAAATGAACAACAGACACCAAGCAAGGTGAGTATGTTTTCTTCATTTTATTCAAAAAAAAAAAGTATTATTTTATTTCGTGGGCGTTTTTATCTTTCGTTATACTTCGTTATCCTTCGTTATCGTTACGATGCCTTTTAGAGCGCCCAACTTCTCAACGGCCCAAAGTGTAACACAACACCACACACCTAAGGTGGTCACGTCCCACACGATACGCGTACGTAAATCATTGATTAATATTGATCTTTTTGGTTTATTTTGCTTGCTTTGCAAGAGTTCTAGAATAAGCTTGATGAAGCGACTAAGCCAGCGAGTTTCACATGAGAAAGTTACTGTCTGCAGAATCGTTAGTACCAAAGCGAAAAATTGAAGAGAATCAAAAGGTTGGCGACCATATTTTTCTCGCAAACAAGAGACCCATTTGTCACATTTGTAGAAGTTAACATGAATACTTCACAGATAGACCCAAAAACATGGAGAGGCATTTCATTTAGATGTGATATATTCTAGTTTACAAGTCGGTCACATTTGAGTGGAACCCGGGGAAGACTCCAATCTAAAAAGGTAGGGGGTGTTCGTCATACCTTTTAGGGGTTAGACACGCAGTTTTGATACCTCTTAGGATGGTTAGCCTCAAAAGCTCCACAGCAGGTACGTTTGCGGTACCTTTTAGNTTAAAAGGTAATCAAATGGTATACTTGTGAAATTGAGAAATAATTTCACTTGCTCTTTTTCAAAATTCTAATACACACTTATTAGTTGAATTACTAGCTGAATTATTTCCTAATTTCACTTGTCACCGTTTATCGGTTAACATGAATGTATTTAAGCAATTTTTCGACAATACAGGTAGATCAAAATTATAACTTACCAATAAAGAATTTCCAGGTTAATAACAAAGTTATTGCCCAAGTAACAAACACTACCAGATGAATATTGTTAATAAAATAAGCAAATTTTACTTTCTTACCTTCTAAGCACTTCCCTTTGAACAGAACTTTTTGTTCAAGTCTGAATTTTGTCATTTCTTGTTCAGAAGAAAAGTTAAGTTCCCTAGATACAGCCTTGCATTTTAAGATCTTTTTTGGTACTCTTGCTGCAAACAAAACCAAAACACTAATTCCTTAATTTGAAAATCCCAAAATAGACAGCAACACATGTCACAAGTACATTCCAATTATTGGCACATCTCTTCTAATAGGATAAGAATTTCCATCATTTGAAGCAGACTCTCATGATTACATACAGCCCTGTACAGTGGAATGCAAGCCTTGATGTTCAATAATGAGACTCTATCGGTTTTGCAAAACAATGTTACAAAATTGGCTTAAAAAACACTTGCGTCACTTTTTCATCCTAGCAGAAGTTAAACCAAAACCATGAATCACTCGTATATGTTTTCCTGCACTTATAGAGTGGTTTTCAATTGAGTGTCGTAAAACCAAAACCAAACCAATTACTTAAAAACTACCTCTACTACTTAGTCAAACTCAAACCATAGTAAAACCAAAGCCAAAACCAAAGTAATTGCCTGAAATTACTCTTGATACTCAATTGAAAATCACTCTACCAGGTGTACATGAATTACTCTAAGTTTTGATTGGTTTGCTATATTGCCTGTGTCCCTTGTGATTAGCTAGAGTGATTACTTTAGTTCTCGCTTTACAACAATCAATTGAAAACTGTTCTTCAACATGACTTATAAATATCAAAAAACCTATCACCAAGCTAAAGACAGCCTAACACATTCAGAAGTAGGTTATGACATGCAAGAAGTAGATTCTATTTGCATCAAAATAGTGCTTAGCATTTGGTAAGATATTAGAAATAAAATAAAATGCCAAAAGAAGTTACGATGCTCATACCTTCATGTTCTTGGTCAGGAACCGACCTGGAAAAGAAATATCAAACATATATTAATCAATAACTGTTAGGAATCTAAATGAATTTAGGAACAAGTTTTTGCCAGTCACAACAGGGATAACAAGGCCTTGGTCTAAAAATATTTACAAGGAACCCAAAGGTTCCAAACTGTCATTGTGCTGGTTGCCCAGCATTTAAGCTTATACATGAGAAAAGTAAGTTTTTTCAGTTGCCCAAAGGCAAAAGCTAGTTACCTGTGGCACCCAGGCACAAAAAATTGAAGTTACTCAAAAGAATGAGGAAGTAGAAATGTTTGATCAGATTTCACTTACAAGTCATCACTGCCTTGCCACAACACCTTCCCAGAGTCAGCATCTCGCAGATTCATCCAATTTCTACATCATTATTAAGGAATATAAAATCAAATAGACGCAACTCCTTTGCAGCAAAAAACTGAATGACTTGTGAAAATTTTACAAATATATACTTGTAATCTGACAATTTATTTTGTGTTAAACCTTGAAGTGCATCTTACATTAAACTTATTTACACGGAATCAAACTGTCTGATTTGACAAATATTTATTCTTAGGTAAAAACAGCAATGTTATACATTTTTGGTCTCTTTCTTCAATCTAGATCTATCTTTGCTTTGACTTGAGAATATATCAGAGTGATCACAAGATCATAACTCAAAGTTAAGGAAGTATCAAATTAAGGAAGTAGTCACAAATCAGTCATGGTTAAATGGTTGCTTAACAGTTTTACCATGCAAACATATCACATAGCCTTCTTGTTACGATGATCTTACTTCCGTGAATACATTACTAGAGGTACATTATTGAAATCTGACTCTGCCATGTCAACCATGACAGGGACGTCTGGCTTGATAAACACTTTGCAAGTTGATCATTCACTAAGTACCAGAGGTTTTCCTGGCAAATTTGTTTCTTTCAATGGTTACTTGCATGGTTTCCAACAATACAAGAATACCAACTGACAATTTTTTTTCCACTTTCTAAAAGAAAGCCTCACAACTCTATGTTTTTTTCATACATTCAATTGAAACATGCTAAATTACAAAGAACAACAATTCATGCTGTCAGGTAATGATATAATGCCTTCACAGTAACCAATCAGAGCTTGACATTTTCATGAACTGCCTTTATTAAAAATTTATTAAAAGGTTAACACCTCCCACTGGACAATGGTAAAAAAATAACTTCTATTGATCACTTGGAATAACAATGCTACTTCGCATAAATGTTCAATATTCCCAAATGGAAAAGATCTTTATCGATTTCTTTTTAACACTCAATCAAATGTTTAGTCTCTCTGTTAGAGGTTGATCATTTTAGAAAAAAAATTTAAATCAGAAATGTTATCAGTTGTAAAGTTAGACACAACAGTAGCACTTGGCCAAGGCAGTTGGCAAATGTCAAGAACGTTCCGAGTCACTTTAGGTTAAGATTTCACAGAGCACGAGTCAGATAAAACCATATACTGCAAATAAACAGACACAGACATGATTAAATTTACCTGAAACGCTATGTCGAAAATACATCACGACCAATTACTTATTCGCTTCACAATATAAATGATTAGAAAAATCACTTTGTGACACACGATCACAATTGTACAGCATCTACGCATCCGCTTTAATAGATATAAATCTTTAAAATCTAATCTTTGTCTATCTTTTACGCTACTGCAATAAACTACAATGAAGCGATGTTTGGAAGTCGTAAATTCGTGCTAGCTGGCATAACCAAAATCCGTTGACGTTTGATAAAGTGTTACATATCCCACCAAAAAACGGATCGAAGTACAAAACCAGAACGGTTTAAAAGTATCACTTTTCGAATACTGTATAACAGGAACAAAACAGTGTTTTAATATCAACAGATAAACAGCAAATCTGTTCAGTTCTAATTCAAGCTTACAGAAGATTCTGACTTCGGCCCACCCGCCAAAGAACTAAACGACCGATAGCCACGATTCGCTAATCCAAAAAGTTCTAGACTTTAAAATAAGTAAGCTAAATTAGTGATTCGTGTAGGTTACTAACTACTAAGTGAAGACAAGTTAAAATAGTCTGCAAAAGTAGCGTAAAATTCGAGGAAACTTGCAAACGAAGGATACAGTTTGAATCCCTTCAGGATTTCATCTTTCCTCGCGCCTTTCACGCTCATGCTGGGAAAATTCGCTATCCACCACCAAAGAATGGTCCAGTAAAGAGTTCTGCACAGAATCAAGAGCCAAATGCCACGTTCAAAGAACAAAATCGCTAAAAACCTCTAGTAGAAGGAGAAACGGATGCTGCAAATAATCCCTGCACCAAGGAGCTTGGCTTGTAACGTTTCCATGAGAACTCTGGGTAATTTACGTCAAATGGGGGAGGGACAAAACGGCCGGGAGGCCTGGAAACTGGGACATGTAGCAGCCGGCGAACCAGAAGCGCGAGGGAGCCCGGATAGCTCCGCTCTCCCAATCCTTTTAGTTTCGCAAAACTCGTTTAGTTTCGTCCGCTCGCTTTGCTCGCTGAATATTTTTCCGTCCTCGCTGGCAGCCCGTTCGCAGGCTACGATTGAATTAATTGATCGAGAGGAAAGTGACCACGTTAAGTGTACGGTGTTGTGTTACACTTTGGGCCGTCGAGAATTTGAGCGCTCTAAAAGGCATTGTACGAGGAGCTTAAGTTGCTTTTTCTGAATATGCTCACCTTGCCTGACGATGAAATAGGGCAAATGGACAACAGACACCAAGCAAGGTGAGTATATTTTCTTTATTTTATTCAAAAAAAGTATCATTTTATTTCGTTGTGCGTTTTTATCCTTCGTTAGCCTTCGTCACCGTTACAATGCCTTTTAGAGCGCCCAAATTCTCAACGGCCCAAAGTGTAACACAACACCGCACGCTTTAGGTGGTCACGTCCCACACGATACGCGTACATAATTAATTAATATTGATCGTTTTGGTTTATTTCGCGTGCTTTGCAAGAGTTCTAGAATAAGCTTGATGAAGCGACTAGTCCAGCGAGTTTCACATGAGAAAGTTACTGTCTGCAGAATCGTTAGTATCAGAGCGAAAGAGAATCAAAAGGTTGGCGACCATATTTTTGTCGCAAACAAGAGACCCATTTGTCACATTTGTAGAAGTTAAAATAAATACTTCACAGATAGACCCAAAAACATGGATAGCCATTTCATCTAGATGTGATATATTCTAGTTTACTTGCATAAAAGTCGGTCATATTTGAGTGGAACCCGGGGAAGACTCCAATATAAAAGGGTAGGGGTTTCTCGTCGTACCTTTTAGGGGTTAAACACTCAGTTTTGATACCTCTTAGGATGGTTAGCCTCAAAAGCTCCACAGCAGGTACGTTTGCGGTACCTTTTAGATCGAGTGCTGAGCGGAATATATGACAGTAGATGATGTGTTATGTAAGAATTGGTACCTCTTGTAACGGGAGAAAAAAAAATTCAAGCCACGCCACAAAACAGGATCTTGGTACCTCTTGATGTTCTTTCAACATTTCCGACGAGCACCCCCTTTTTTATATGGAATACAGACCCCTTTACCCCACCCACCAGCTCCCGCTGAGCAGGTGCTGAGTAGCAGCAAATTTCAAACCAGTTACCTGTAATAAGTGCTGGGGTCTTTTGAGGGAAATCAAGA